TTGAGCTTAGATTTGAGGTAAAAAACCGGATAAAGACCGGATAAGAGAGCTCAACACCCAAAACTTAAGTGTAATTTGCATAAACGGTCACAAACCTTTGCACTTAGTACAAAACTTAACCAACTCCTCACCCTTTTAGGCCTTAGGCCACTCAAATTCCCACAATCTCAATATAAAATCAAGATCGAATTGGGACAGGACCGGGTCAAGACCGGACCGGATCAAGACCGGACTGTATCCAATCCAATCTTTGGTCCTTATATTTTCAAAAAAACCGGACTGGACCGGATCAATTTGGGCCAATTTAACCGGACCGGACCGTATAGCCACCCCAATTTTCATCGCTTTCATTCATCTCTTGACTGCCAAATGGGATCAAGCCGTACACCATTGTTTTCTTTCTAGAGGATGCGGTAATAAAAGAAAGAGAGCAGTGGTTGTTAGCATGTGAGATATATAGAACATTTCTCATGGGTCGTTTGGATGTGAAAATTTTAAAATGTTGAAATTTGTCTGAATTTCCATGTTTTACAAAATCAAGGAATTGATTTGTGGAAATTGAAAAAAAAATTACGTTTGGATAGGGTTTAGTTTTGTGGGAATTGATGGTGTGGAATTTGGAAAAAGAATTAAGAAAACGTGGTAATGTCAAATTACTAGGGTGAGGTGTAGTATTCTCAATTACCATGAATGTGGTAATTGAAGCCAATTTACATGGTCCAATTTCCATACCATTTTTGCTCTCCCAAACGTGGGGTTTTAACCCAGTTACTGCATTATGCGGTAATTGGATCCAATTACTGCATTACATTTCCACATCCATACGACCCCCTCAACTTGGATCAACTGATTTTTTTATATGATATCAAAAAATTTTGTCGCTCGAATCTCGGTAATTAATCCCATTGACTTTCGTTTGAGCGGGGCGTGTTAGTATTTGATATTCATTATACAACTCGAGTTATTAAGATCAACTGGTTCTTGACAATGTTGACCTATCTACCTATCTATGTACTAACGGAGATGATTTAATAAGTGATAAAAGTTTTGTGTTCGAATCTTGTGAATCTCACTATTAAGGGTTGACCGTCGAATTCATGTTGATCAAATTTTCTAATTCTTACTAACTATGCAGACATTGTATTAAGTCGCTGGCAGGGATGGCGTTGACTAGTGGCGGAGACCAAGCACCCACCTTAGTTGCAGAGAAAATAAGTACATATAAAATATACAGGTAAGCGTTGTGAGATTTTGTACGTACGTAAACCTCGTCAATGTTGGTTCATATTTCTACCACAAAAAAATGTAATAATGAATTTAGTTGTCATTGTTACATATAATACATTCTAGTATCTACATAAATGAAATTTAAACAAGATATAACAATTGCAATAAGTTAGCATTGTTTAAAACGAGATATAATTCTTGAGTTTTTAATAGAATCATGGGTGAAGTTTTCGAAATAACAATTTGCAATTAACCACGTGAAAAAAATATTCTTTTATATTTAATGGGTGAAAAAATCACAAACGATTATCTGATAGGAAATATTGAGCTAGATTGATATCATATATCTTTTCTATTGAAGATTGATATGATTATATGAATGCATATTATTATAAGTTGATAGTTTGATAATCCGAAGGTTCCTTTCCGTAGGCACGTACACCTGCAGCTGCATGCTATTTGGCCGTTGATGATGCATTGCTAAGGCCTAAGGCAGGCAATACCCGACTAGCTGGGAAGGGAGAAATGGCACGATTTTGTGGGTTGGAAGGAAAGGGATTACACAATCCATTATCCATCCATTCCAGTCGATGCGACCAAATGTACAGTTTATGGAGACAATTGAACATGTTTTAGCAGCTTAATTCTCGATCTCCAACTGTTAAAAAGGGAAACCCTTTGTGTAAGTTTTGATATCGACCATTCGAAGCTAACAAAGCGACCATTTTGCAAGCTAAGTACTGGAAAATACCCATAGATATGGCAAACCGATCGATCAAAAACTGAAGAATATGTCGACTTTTGATGATAACATACCACACCATATAACCTAACAAGCTAGCTAGGTCTCGCAACTCCAAAAATAATGGAGCACTTTCTTCGATTCCGACGACTTTCCTCACGTAATATTGTAATTCTTAATTTCTTGAATCTTGTTTTCAATAATTTTTCATCATTTTTACTTCGGATCTATATAGGCGAAATATCATGCGCTGATAATGTTGAAATTGATTATTGCGTCGACAATTTTGACTTACAGCTACAGAACATAATTTCAAGTTGATTATTGCGTCAGATCAAAATTACGTCTTCTGTCAAGGAATAAATGAAATTCTATGGGTCGTGACTTGCCATGAGACATGTTAATTCAGTCAATTTCTATCAGGCAGATTACATCATAATTGAGATTAAAGAACATTCACAACAAATCTAAAACGTAAAATAATTTATCAAACTCTCGGCTCAAGATAGGGTGCATAACCATGGGTTATGCATTCATCAATAACCAAATCTGGACCCTTCATTTAGAAAATTCAGATCTAAGGATGGAGAATTAAAGACCATTTTTATTTTCTCTAACTTTATTAATCGGCTCATATCTTTTTCCTTTTAACTCGGATTTTATTTTCTTTTTTGCACAGGTGGAACGATTTCATCGTGCTCTACAAAATGAGATCAATTTTCAATATTTTTTTATAACAAAAAATTCTGGCCTCACAGTACCAACTGCATACCATATGGTATTTTCTTCGTTTTAGTTCGTTTTTGAAAACGTTTTCACAAAAGGGACAAGTTCATCATGATCTATTGGATCTACAAATTTCTGGGTGAACAAATTACAGGACCAAAAAATACCACTCAATACCACCCTGGTACGGGGTGGTATCTTATGGTACACAATGTTAAAAGTCGTAAATGACAGTTAATATACTTCTACTATCATGTATTAAACCATCATACAGTCTTGGTTTGTTCATACCATCATGGTACACTTTTCAAACCATAGGTATGCTCTTGTTTCAATACTAGTCAATACCATATGGTATAGACTGGTAAAAAAATGACTCGACTTTTTTTGTTCGAAAAATATATCAAAGTGGTATCATTTTGAAGAGCATAATTAATCTTATCTAACTGTGCAAAAAATATTAAATTTTGACTTAAAACAAGTGAGAAATCGTTCGTCAAAGATTAATGAAAGGAAAATTAAAGACTTTCCAGGAGAGAGAGGGATGCTGATGTGGACGGGTTACTCACCATAAGGTTACTATCTTGATCCGTTCCCTCCGATAAGAGATGAGAGCGGGAACGGATCAGGTCAGTAACCTTATAGTGAGTAATCATGAGTAACTCGTCCACATCAGCATGACATCAGCATCCTCTCTCTCCTAAAAAATCTTTAATTTTCCCCTCATTAATCTTTGACGGACGATTTCTCACTCGTTTTAAGTCAAAATTTAATTTTTTTTTGCACAGTTAGATCAGATTAATTGTTCTCTTCAAAATGATATCCACTTTGATATATTTTTCTAACAAAAAAAAAGAGTCATTTTTTACCAGTCTATACCATATGGTATTGAGGAAAAAATCCCACTGTACACATGTTTTTTTTTAAAAATTCTCAAAATACACACGTTATGAAAAAAATTCCCAATCTACGCATGTTTGGGTATTCACCGCGTCAGACCAAGGCGGTGATTGCATCACCGCGTTAGAGGAAAACGGTGATTGCATCACCGCTGTAGACAAAGACGGTGATAGCTTCACCGCATTAAACGGCCACGGTGAAGGCCTAACCTGCGTCGAAACTTTAAAAAAACGTAACTTTGTGCTCTGTTATCCGATCGTGGCAAAAAAAATTTTTGATTCCGCATAACTTTTTAAGGACTACAATTTTTATTAGGAGAGAATTTTCAAAAAATGAATTATTTTTGGATATACGGGGTTTTGGGAATAAGTTTACCTTCCCTTTTCAGGAATCCAAGTACATTCCGAAATTATGTCTATGATAAAAATTGTAGTCCTTAAAAAGTTATGCGAAATCAAAAAAAAAAATCATGATTTTCGGATTGTGGAGCACAAAGTTATGGTCGTTCAAAGTTTGACGAAATCGAAAAAAGGCTCGTTCGGGACGAAGGCGGGGCCATTACGGTTAAGTGTGAATGAATTCAAAGGACCATTACGGTTAATTGTGAATGAATTCAAAGGACCATTACGGTTACTGTCCTAACTATTGTACTTTTTGTTTTCCTTTTCCCTTCTGTCGAATCGAACTTGCACGTTCTCCTTTGAAGCTACAAAAAGGACGATCGAACGTTTGCTATATATGTTTGCTTGGACATAGGACAATGACGACCTAGCTAGCTAGGTCCAATTGGATTCGGGTCCAGCCCTTTAACAACCGTTGGCGTGAAATTTCCCTCACCAAGGGTTCAGGATAGCAAAGGGTATATACGTGTGCCATCAGTCGGCCATGGAAATGGAAAAACCATGCAAAAGAGAGGGACGTCCATCGACAGAAGCTTCTGCTTTTCCTTTGTATGGGAGATGGTGGAACGAAGGAAGGAAGGACTTGCATGTGCAATGTTACTCACATCACTTTCGTTTTGCTTGCCTACTGATCCCATTTTCGGGTTTGGTTTGGCTGGCTGCTGGTACTAATTGATAGGGGTCCTTCTCGGTATTCATGGTTGTGTAAGGACGTGGTTAACAATCATACATGAATATCTTTCAATAATTCGAGTTATTGAGATCAGTTTGTTCTTGACATGTTATCAGAACTGGTTTGTCCTTGAGGTAAAGGTGTTCAAGCCCCCTCGCGACCTCCCACATTGGACGTTATGTTTAAAAAGCATATGGTATGACGGGGCCTATGCAAACTTCAAATCTATGAATTAACTTTCGTTTGAGGGAAGCACGTAAGAACCACCATTTCTTACCATTTCGTTACGTACTTGGGAGAGAGACCATCAATTGAATCTATTGGAGAAGGCCCATTACCGAATCACAACCCAATGGAACTTTTATCACTTGGTCCATATGCACTCTTAGCCCAGGAATTGACCCACATCTAACCACTTTTGAGTTTGGAGTACCTTGGACTATTGGACACTATTACAAGTTATTTGCAGCAGTTGAGACTGTACATACAGAACTCTAAACCTGCAACTTTCCTCGATCTATACTCTACCAGGGTTGCTGAAGCAGATTCATGGCATTGCAGCATAACGCAAGGAAAGAAAGTTGAGAAAAGGGTACTACTTTCTCTTCCCACGTTGATAACAGATCGAATAGCCGTCATTTTTATCATGTAATATTGCAGAAAAGAAAAACTAGCTAGACTGTCATCCAAATGAATGATAAAATAAATATAACTCCTTTTAGTCTCAAGAACCAAAAAAGAAACCCAGGGAAGAACAGATACCCAGTTACCAAAGGGCCAGCCCCAGAACTCTTCAGTTGATGGTTATGGCTGCCATAACTTTTGCTCAAGGACTTCCACTAAATGGAGTGGAAAGTCTTTATCTTTTATCTTAAGCTCGACATTTAACCAAACCCAGATCCTTAAGCAGATACAGCAGCAGGCTTCTGCTGCTTGGTGTCCTCTGTTTGCAAGCTCTCGTAGTACTTCACAAGGACCTTCCACCCTCCCGGGCACATAAAACCATCGGGTGGGTTTTCACCTGTTTTTGCAAATGTCCTCATCTGCAAGATAGAAATGTGTAAAAGTAAAGAACAGACATGCAGACGACTGACTCGTGATAAAATAACATTGACATCGATGCCACTTAAAGTTAGATTATTGCTTTGCAGACCTTGTATTTTAACCTACTAAGCCTTGTGATGAATGAAGGGTTCCGAAAATCACCAAAACAAACGACCAAACTTTACTATCTTGATTTTATCATGTGATATATCACCCTAATTGAGCAATGAAAAACCATGCAGATTCCTGGATCACCCATGTCAGAAATGCAGTAGCTAGGGGGCCCGCAGCCAAAACTGTGAATAAAAACTACACAACAGTACAGCTAATGAGAATCGATGATATTCGTATACCTTGGTTCCAGATATGAATAGAAAATCTTGCGCTCTTGATGGATCAAAAAAGGCCATCTTCTTTGCAACTGTATCGTAAGCTGCTACCTGCATAACCTCCTTTCAACTGTCAGACTACTTTGCAATTTCGTTGTACAAACAACTATTACAATCAAAACAGAGACGGATCAAGGGAGTTTCTTCTTCCTAACCTAATCGAGCCTAAAAGATACTAGCTCGAGAGAGAAAAAAAATTTAGACAAGCAGAAATGGTGCATACTGAAACTGAACATCCAAAACCTTACCCTGAAGGGCAAAATATTCAGTTTCTCAAGCCCAGGAGCCATGCTCAACACCTTCTTCCCATGGTCAGGATCATACAAATCTCTCTTCTCCACAGGATGCCCCATGCCAGCAGGATCACGACCCACAATATAAAAGTTAGCTCCTGCGTTTATTCTTGCCTTGGCATGCCATTGCACTTCTGTCGGACCAGCGTAATGCATAGGTGAAGGGAAAATTGCAACTATCGTGGTCTCTGGATCAAGAACTTTGTCCTCTAAAACCTTGCTGTGTTGTTCCATTCGGACATCCAAAGGCACATCATCAGCCTTCACAAACCCTCCCAAAGGATGCAGCAAGAGAATGGGATTCTTGTAACCCATATCCAGAAGCCGCCTACGAGTGTCGTTCATCAAAAGAGCGTGACCATTGTGAACCGGGTTTCTTAGCTGAAAAGCGAAAACTGCATCAGCTCCACGCTTATCAAATTCTTTGCGTAGCTCCTTGGGGGAGAGGCGATAATGATCGAGCCCGTCATTGTACTTGATAGGTTTTAGGACTTCAAGGTCTCCGCCAATGAGCCAGTTTCCAGCTTGAGTGATGCTCTCCTCCACGTAGGGTAAACCAGGAGCAGTTGTGCCCCAGGTTCTGGCTATTCTCTCTTCTTTGTTGTGCTTGTATATTTCTATACTGCAAATCAAGGCACAAAAACATCATTGGTTCACCAGTTTGTTGAACTCTCACATCATCTAACCATTTAGCATTCATTGTTGATGGGGTTAATATGTTAAATACGCCAAATGGTGTCACTGAACTATGAGGTTTATAATAAAATATGTCAGTAAACTAAACATACAACTGATACGTCAGTAAGCAACCACCTTTTCACATTCCATTTACACTGAAATTGGCACATTGACTCAACTGAACTAACGAGAGATCCAACGGAACGAGACTAAAGATCACCTAGTTTGCTATAGATAGTTATGCGACTGTTTAGGAATTTAATCCATTGTTCTTAACAGCCTAAACACGTGAGCAATAAGAAGGCAATTTCAATGATGAGACAAGCCTATTTTGGCATGTTAACTCAACCAAACTAACTACAGATTAAACGAAATGAGATGCAAGCCGCTTAGTTTTCTATAAACCTCACTAAGTCACTATTTTGTTATGTGACCATTTAGGCGTTTTTAACCCCATCGTTCTAACCAGCTTCAACAAGTAAGCAATAACAAGGAAATTACTGTGATGTAAAGAGCCTAATCGGCATGCTGAGTCTACCGAACTAACTGCAGAGCAAGTGAAATGAAACATCGGTACAAGTCACTTAGAGTTCTACAAACCTCACAGTTCTCGGACAATTTCAGCAATTGAACCCCCCATTATCTTTGTCATTTCCAACAAATGAGCAATGACAAAACAAACCACCAAAAGCTGGAGCTTATCACTAACCTTCGAAGAATGGCAATGACATCCCCATCAGGACCCAAAAGAGCAACATCTTTCGCGGACCCAATACTCTCCTTAGTCCCATCATCAATCGCCAACACAATCGGGAGCGACATGTTCACCACCTTCCCATCCTCCATCCTCAACGAATTGAAATGCAGGCTCTGCAAATACTCATCCTCCCTCATGAAACCTCTCAACGGGCTCGCCCACCCTTCACTTACCACATGAACCCACTCCACATCCACCTTCGTTAGCTTCACCTTCGGCAACCCTTCAGCCTCAGAAACCTTCGCGGCCCTCTCCCCCTCCGGCACCACCAAATCCACCAGCGCCCCGCCGTCGGGGTCGATCAAGGAGCTCTTGATCGCCGGCAAAACAGCACCCTTCATGTTTCTCGACCTCGTCGTCCGCCTGTACAGAAATGGAAGCAACTCGTTAGCGCCGTAAATGGGTTTCCCCACCAGCAGCTTCACATTCGTCACGGCAGCCACGGGAGCTCGTCGTATAGCGGTGTGGGGAATGGTGTGGGGAACAACGTGGAGCTTGATTGTCAGCGACATGATGGAGGGTTTAAGATCCGTCGAAACTGGGAAGAGAGATGGTGGGGGAAATTGAAGGGTTCTTCTATATTTAGCTAACGGTTCGAAAGAGAGAGAGAGATTACCCTGTAAGATTCGGAGTGAAGAGGATCCACACATTCGCTGCGGGAGTCTTTGTGGATGGAAGGAATTCGATTTATTGCTGGGGGACCAACCAAAACCAGAGAAGGGGGAAAAAGCGAGCCAGCCCAAAAAGGAATTTCGATGACAGATGCAAAAGCAACCGCGAAAGGCTTCTCTCCCTCCAGCCACTACTTGCTTGACTAGCTGAATATGTCGGACGGCCGCTCGGGTTCTCGATGAAGATTAGTACGTTACGGTGGCGACGGGAAGATCGATCACAGTGACTGACGGTTTAATTCAGCTCTAACGGCCGTCATCACAAGAGTGAGAGAGAGGAAGAGAAAAGACCAAACGGATGGTGACGACTGACGGGTTTAATAAATGGACTAAAAGTCTCGTGAAAGCATCGTTCATGAAACCGTACAGTACCGGCGGTTCAACTACCAAATACCAGTATCGGAGGTTCAACTGGTAGGCGGTAATTAACGGTTGAACTACGGTTAAACCATGGTTTTATCATAAAATACCATACTGCTGACTTTTCCGATACGATATCCGGTACGGTTTCATGGACCATGCATGAAAGTCAAGACCAGGACGTTGATGAAACCTTTTAGTAACAAGTTGAGCTTTAAAATGCTCGATAGATCCGGGTGGCACTTCACACGTCAGACCCAACGATTATCAACAACATTCTAATGTGGAAGACGAGAGATCAGATCCCACGTATGACTAGCCAGAAGGGCAGAATTCTCGGCGACCATAGCTTTGTTCCACACGAGATGAAGCAAAGCCTCCTTCACAGAAGTTGGTTCCAATGGGGAAGAAGCCTGGGCTGTAGCGACATTAACATACTTGGGATTATGCTTCCCTATGTTATTCTTACCACGTGTGACCATGGGATGGGGACTCGACGGATGCTGCGACGAAGATGGCCGAGCAACACCAGGAGCAGGAGAGTCCGTAGAGGGAGGAAGAGTCTCCGTCACTATAGGTGCTGAACAAGACGCATCACCAGCCGATGTGTGAGGACGAGCGAGCGACGGCGATGACCGTGAAGGGAGAGCTGGTGGTGCGGGAAAGAGACTAACTGGAGGCAAAAAGGCAGCAAACCACGAGGGAAGCACCATGTCCGAGTGAGAGGAAGAAGTGGATGACGAGGACAAAAGACTTAGACGAGGAAGTTCAAATTCAACAAAGACAACGTGACATGACAAAAAAACACGAAGAGTAGCAGGACCGAGACACTTATAGGCACTTTGTTGATGGGAATAGCCAAGGAAAAGACAAGGTCGGGATTTAGAATGAAGTTTATTTGGAGCATAGGGACGCAACCAAGGATATTACAAGCAACTAAAGACACAAAACTTAAGATAGTTAGGAGACTCATTGAACAAAAGAGAGAAAGGTACTTGACCGCAAAGGTAGGGCTGGGAAACGGTGCAGTCTGGTCCAGACCAGACCATATATATGGTCTATGGTCCAGACCGAGAGGCTGAAGTATAGACCACAGATTATATAGTCTGGTCCAGACCACGCCTGTGCGGTTTGGTTCGGTCTGGTCTGGTCCAAATAGACCACACTCAACGAAAAATGAACAATTTGTTTAGTCAACCACACAAAAAATTGAACCAATAACCAAGAAAAATCATTGTTATTTGCCTTAAAACATTAATCCTAACATGCATGAATAATTTTGATACCCTAATTCTTAGTACATAACAAAGATTTAAAGTAAAAGCATCTCAACCTGCACCATAACGTCATATGGAGACACGATTATCTCTACTCTCTAGTTAAATGTGGTTGTGAATAAAGGAGAGACGAGATTCACAAAATTAAGGTTGAGACTTGGGTGTCGTTGTGGGAGTTGGGAGAGTGGTCAAATGGGTTGTTAACACGTATTGACAAGTCGGTTAGGTCCACGGTTTGGTCCGGTAAACCGCGGTCTAGACCAGACCAGACCAAGAGATCAAAACATAAAATAATACAGACCATGGACCAGACCAGACCAGACCATACTTAACGGTCTATGGTCCGGATCAAACTGTACAGTACGGTTTGGACCACGGTTTTTCTAACGGTCTTGTCTATTTTTCCAGCCCTACGCAAAGGGGAGATGATGGGAGACGATTGATCAGATAAACAGTAGTGGAAAAGGCATATGACCAATAAGAAAGAGGTAGACGAGCCTGATGCAGTAAAGTAAGACCCGTTTCAACAATATGACGATGTTTTCGTTCAGAAAGATGAGTGACAGTATACGATGGGGTGAGAAGATGAGTGACACCATGAGAAGCAAGTTCATGACGCAGTTTGACAAACTCACCTCCACCATCAGTATAAAGCCGACGGATGGTAGTAGCAAAATAATTTTCGACCAAACGTTGGAACATAGTGAAAACAGACAGAACAACAGACTTACGACGCAGGGGATAAAACCAAGTATAATGAGTATAATGGTCAACAAGAACAAGATAATACGAATAACCATCAATAGAGGGAATATGCGCAGGGCCCCAATGTTAGAGAAAATTAGATCTAAGGACCGAGAACTCGAAAGACTAGACACAACGAAGGGTAGCTTATGACTCTTGTTCGACAAACACGAATTACAATGAGAGAGATCCAACGACCTAACAACAGGAAGAGAATTGACACGTAATAGACTAGACAAAGCACGAGACGACGGATGCCCAAGACGATGATGCCATAATTCATAAGTATTGCGAGTGGTAACCATGCAAGACAGACAACTCCAGAACCACCACCAAGCTCGTACGTATCACCGTTGTTCCTCCCGGTTAGCAGCACCGCCCCCGTTCTTAGATCCTCCACAACAAACAAATCAGCAAAAATTTCCACGGAGAAAGGATTAGTACGATAGAGTTTGGCAACAGAGATCAACCACTTACGAATACCACACATAAAATACTATGAAGTGTAAGACAACGAGTAGAAGCAGGAAGAGAAGAAGAGCCAATGTGTGTGATTGGCAAACCTGTACCATCTCCAATATAAACTTCATCGGGACCATTATAGTCCGAGTAGATGCCTAGGTTTCCAGGATCGCGAGTGACGTGATGGCTCGTAGCAGAGTCCATAAGCCAGGAGTCATCTGTCGGAGCAGACGGTCGGGGACGAGATGACGCAGTAGTGTTGTTGGCCTCCGGGCGCTTATGAGGAAAGAGCTGAAAGCAAGTGTGAGCAGAGTGGCATGGCTTCTCACAGAACTGGCACATGATACGAGTGGCGCGGCGACCATCATCATCACCACGAGGAGTATCCCAGTAATTGGAGTAGGAAGAGGGAGGCGGAGAGGAACCATGACCAACCCCGCGGCTAGGCATGTCGCTACGGCTGCAACCACGCCCCCGCTGAGTTGCAAACGCCGTAGCTAGAGAGTCAGTAGGACGAGATGCAATAAACATTACGAGCCTTAATTCCTGCTGCGAATTCCCGCTAATCGGGACCCAGGCCATGACAACCTCGGTGTCATTAACTTTAGCACTAATCCTGTGTTTCTTTCTCGTATGAAGCATCTTGCTTTAGACTATTTGTTTATCCGTCAGCTAGTCCAGTCTCGTCAGCTTCTTGCACGACATGTTCCCACTGCCACTCAGCTTGCCGATTTGCTTACTAAGCCCTTGATGCTGGCGCAGTTTCGACTTCTGTGTTCCAAAATTGGACTCGCTGATGGCCCGTTCACTTTACATTCCATTTTTTGTAGCTGCCACAACAATAAACAAATTAAAATGAAAACAAAACTAGTGATTTCTGAGAAATGAAACCTGCAGAAAACTTGTTTAGCTGAGAATTTTTGTGAGTTCTAAAACTGAATTCTGGAAATGAAAATATGTTTAGTTACTTCATTCTCATTCTTGGTACTTGATTGCTACAATTTTTTTTATTAAACATCATACAACACAAATCATGATTATAATTTTTAATACAAATCACATAATTTTCAAACAATTCCAAACCATTAATTAGGGACTCAACCCACCACCATTTCACTTAATTATACTATTTACAAGTATAGCATCCTGCCTAATTATACAAAGACACGACCAATTATACAAAGACAAAAAATATATATTGTTTTAGTAGCAGTAGCAGCGCTAATTGACCGGGTAAGATAGTCATTGTGGATCTTTACGAAACACCACGTCCTAAATAACCCAGACGGTCACTCTCGAAAAAGTGGAAACCAATTCCCTGTACTCTACCTCTTCCTGGCAACAAATTTCTTGATGGAGTAGTAGGCAATGGAGCCGTCGGTGACCATGAAAGCAGAGTGCAGATGCAGAGCTGAGGTCAAACACAGCGACGACTGTCAGCACTGGAATGAACAGCCCCCCTGCCGCCGATCCCGTCGACGCTGGAGATCGATGTGGCTAAGAAACAGAGCATTGCCGTTATTAGCCTGCCACCATTGATGGGATACTGGGGACCTCATCGTCATCGGGTCGGGACTCGGGAAGGGTCTGTGGAGTTGGAGAACTGGAGAATTGAAATTAGAAGAAGGGCTAATACCACTAGGAAACCCGAACTATTAACTTTGTGTCATTTGTGTCCTAAAGTATTCGATATGACATTTGTGTCCTAAACTATTTTTCCGTTAAAGTTGACTGGCATTGACCGTTAGTTTTTAACAGAAAGTCTAGTCAGCGCTGATGTGGCATCTAACGTGGAAATTTTATTATTATCTTTTAATTTTCCCTTTTGATTAAAAAATAATTAAAATGAATAAATTGGAAATTGAAACCTCCGCCACCACCAAAACCCTCCTCCTCTGCGAATCCTCTCCTTTGCTTCCCGAGCCGCCGGAATCTCCGGTCAGCTCTCCCCTTCTTTGTCAAAGGATTCCGCCGCTAGAACAATTGTCGCCTCCTCACCTCTACTCCTCTCCTCGCATCCCTAATCGGTTGCCACATCCCACCTGATCGAGTCCTCCTCTTCCTGTCACTCCAATCGAGGCGATTCTTATTCCGTCTCTGGGCGATTCTACCTAAGGTGGAGAGGAGGGGCGATGAATGGTCAAGATAGCGAGTTTCACCGCAAAGTCGATCCTGTAGATCTTGATCTCGCATCCTCGACAATCGCTGCATCACGAGGTGGAGCTCGCCGTCGTCATCGGGCAGAAAGCTCGCGATGTGACAGAGGATTCCGCCATGGATTCCGTCAGAGGTTTGATGCAAGTTCTTTTCTCGTCTCGTCTCTGTGAAATTCGGATTTTAGTTTATGACGAGAGAGGGACTCGGATCTGGTAATGCTTTCTCTCAGGTTATGCTCTTGCTCTGGATATGACCGCAAGAGAAATCCAAGCTTCTGCTAAGGTAGAAATGAAGAAGGTAGGGGAGTGAGTCGATTTTACAAAGAAAAAGAGAAAGAAAAGAGTGGCTGCGGAGCTCGGCCGACCGGAAAAACCAGAGAGCGGCAGGGGATGCCGGAATTGGATGTCGCCTAGTCGTCGGCCTGTCTTTTCCCTCTCCTGATCCATCTCTGCGCTCTCTCAGACCCTTCATCGTTGGCGATTCCGGTGCCCCATCCTATTCATCCTTGTTCTCGATTGCGATGGTTGGTATTTTTTTGATATGGGTTTGTAATTGGATGAAGTAGGATCGACAGTGGAGAAGCTGAAAAGCAGAGGGAGTAGGAGGCGGTGGGGGAGTTTTCCTTTACTTTTTTTTTTATTTTAATTTTTAGAAACAATATTAATTAATTGAGTTTACATTTTTAATTTTTATAATAATATATTATTTTTATAATTTTTAATTCATTTTTAATTAAAAATATGAGGTGTCATTGACGTGGCATCCACGTGGCTGGCACGTCAACAAAAGTCAATGTTAATGTTGACTTCCGTTTGGTCAACCGTTATCTATAACGGTCAACGAAATCGTCAGGACATAAATGGCACACAACTATTATACGTTGTGACAAAAATGTCATATCGAATACTTTATGACGCAAATGGCACAAAGTTAATAGTTCGGGTTTCCCAGTGGTATTAGCCCTTAGAAGAACGGGATGGGGATGGAGATTAGTTTTAGGATGGTGGACGACTGATTTCATATTGGGGAATAAAAAATGGCTGGCCAAGGAATTCGAAGCCCTTATTTCATTTAACTACAGTGGAGGAATTGGGGGAAATCCCTTTCCCCATTTCCAGAAAATCAATATTTCTTGTTTTTTTTCGGGTAAAATATCTCGGGTACCACTTAAGTTTGAGAATTGGAGCAGACATACCACTTAAGTTTGAATAGGGCGTCAGGTACCACTGAACTCTATTATTTGTGCATCGGGTACCACTTAAGTTTAATGTTAAGTGCATTCTGTTAAAGTTAACAGAATATTCTTGGAATATTCTGTTTTCTAAATTTCTTAATTGGTCCTTCTACTTTTCTTATTGTAAAAAATCATTTTGACTTATGAAAAACATAAATTTTTATTATTTAGTTGGTATCCTCTTTTGAAGACTTGATACCAAATTAATTTTTGAATATAAAATTTAGAATCAATTATCATTATATGTATTTTCAATTATCATTATGTTTTCTAATAATTGAATTATTCTCTGAAGCAAATATATCCTATGAATTCTGTTTAGTTGGAATCCTCTTTTGAAGACTTTGATACCAAATCAATTTTTGAATAAGAAATGTAGAATCAATTATCATTATAAGTATTTTCAATTACCATTATGTGTTATAATAATTAAATAATTTGCTGAAGCAAATATATCCTATGAATTCTATATCGATATAAATAATCTGAAAATATTATATTTAATTCCCGTACATCATGCTGATGTTGTATAATTTTCTATATTAAATATCCTTGTAATTTTCTAATATTATATTATAGATGTTCCATATTAATTAAATTTACTAATTCTAATTCTCTTCCTATAGTCGTATTTTATTTTCTAGATTTGTTACAGAATGTTATAGCTTTTATTTATTACTTGGTTACTTTCGTTCACTTTTCGTTCTAATTTTTTTTAATTACCGGAATATGTTTAATTCTTTCTGACTGTGTTCCATTTATCATTCTTTGGTCTTGATGTATTGATGATCGATTAGGTTCTATTTTAACTATTTTTAATGATACTTCTAATTGGATTAGCAATTTAAATATATCTTCTAATATTGATTTTAAATATTTATTATTATATTCTATATAATTATTATTATTCTTGATATTTGTTTATTATTTTTACTAATTTATCTATTTTATTGACAATTTTGATTAGTCATTTTAGTAATATTATGTTTAGAAGGTTTTTTTAATTTCTATATTAGATAAAAACTTGTTGAAATATAGTTTTGGATGTTTATAAAAGTTTTGGGTACAAAAAAGTAATTAATTTTTTTGGTTGGATGGAAAACTAGACGGATGCACATTTTGACGACTTTAATGGTACCTGACGCCCTATTCAAACTTAAGTGGTATATTATATATGCCCAAATTCTCAAACTTAAGTGGTACTCGAGATATTTTACCCTTGTTTTCCCATAGCTACCCATAAATTATGAAATGATTTTTTCACATGAAAATGGAATGACAAGTGAACACGTTTTTTCATTTATGTTTCATGATTTATATTGTGACAACAAAAAATAGAAAACGAAATGATAAGTGAACGGGGCATGAGCGCATGACACTACGTCCATCTTTCGGGCGTAATAGAGTTGATTTATAGATATAGTTTCCTTGTCCTTGTAATACATGTATTCCATAACCATTCCTAGTTAGTATGTTTGTTGTACATTGGGTATGGGTGGTTATACGGTCCGGTTAAATTGGACCAAATTGATCCGGTTCCAGTCCGGTCTTTTCGGGAATATAAGGACCAAAAATTGAATTGGATACAATCCGGTCTTGATCCGGTCCGGTCTTGACCCGGTCCGGTCCTAATTTGATCTTGATTTTAGGTGTTGAGGGTCTCTTATCCGGTCTTTATCCGGTTTTTTACCTCAAATCTAAGCTCAAATATGAGATTGGATTGTTTGCTATCCGGTCTCGGTCCGGATTATACAATCCAATTTAGAGTAAACCCAAACAGACCAAATAGCATGCCATAACATTGGGTTATAAATACCCTCTTTTGGGAATAATACAACACACACGATTCTCATAAACCTTACAGCCAATATATCGAATTTTGTTCTCAGCCTTGAGAAACCAATACGTTTCGATTTTGACGTTTCTATTTTCTGAAACGCGTTCCCTTTCGATTTCTCAAACGGTAAGCAAAGCGCGATAAATTGCCATGATGGACATGTCGGCGATATAGCACGAGATGCAATAAACATTACGAGATTAGAGGATATTTTGCGCTAAATATCCCGAAACGGCTGTCCCCAAAATTTCCCCTGGCTGACTCTGCCCTAATTTCCCCAAATCCTGAATCCTTTCAGAGTATATTATCACCCGCCATCTCCAAATTTCGGTTCTCTCTTTCGGCATATTCTTTCCTCCCAGGGAGGACGAAACCTTTTCTTGCACGGAGTAGCTTCCTTCCGTCGATCGATCAGGCTAAGCGACTGTTAAAATTTGGAGATTCACATCGGTGGTTGAACCAGATAGAGAGAAGTCGACGAGCACCAGCCGCCGCCAACAATGGGAGTTCCCGCGTTCTACCGTTGGCTGGCCGAGAAGTATCCGATGGTCGTGGTGGACGTAGTCGAAGAAGAGCCGGTCGAGATCGAAGGTGTGAAGATTCCCGTCGACACCAGCAGGCCCAACCCTAACGAAATCGAGTACGACAATTTGTACCTCGACATGAATGGGATTATCCATCCCTGCTTCCATCCCGAGGATAGGGTACAGACTTGCTTCTACTTTTCCCCGTTCAATTCGTCAAATTTAGTTCCGTTTCGTTGGTGGTAGTTTGGGATTGTATTGGCTTTTCTGGGTGATGGATGTTGAATGGGATGTGTTTATTTTGTGGTTTGTGCAGCCGTCGCCGACTTCTTTTGATGAAGTGTTCCAGTGCATATTCGACTACATTGATAGGCTATTCGTGATGGTGAGGCCCAGGAAGTTGCTGTACATGGCAATTGGTGAGTGCAGTTTTTCACTTTCTGTTTCACTCTGTACTTCTTAATGTGGGGTGTGAATGAAGGCACTGATGTTGTTTCGTCTGGTGCTGATGGGCAGATGGGGTTGCTCCTCGTGCAAAAATGAATCAGCAGCGCTCTAGGCGTTTTAGGGCTGCTAAAGATGCTGCCGATGCGGTATGAGCTGCACTCTTATGTAGTGCTATTGTGTAATTATTTGGAGTTTGCGATTTAGTAAATGTAGAACTTGCAACTATGGGCTGTATCAATTTCGTTTATTCCATCGAAGTTGTGTCCAAGGATAGAGGGATTTGGGGATTTCAAGTATTAAGCTGTTGATGCTGTTGTTGATCTAGATTAATGCATGCTTTCCTTTTTCATCATAGGCATGGAATACGTGACAGTGAAAGACACTTTCTTTCTTTTTCTTCTGGCAGGCAGCAGAAGAAGTTAAGCTCAGAGAAGAGTTTGAGAGGGAGGGAAGGACGCTTCCTCCTAAGGAGGAGTCTCAAACCTTTGATTCAAATGTCATTACTCCTGGAACTCCATTTATGGCAGTTCTCTCTGTTGCATTGCAGTATTATGTTCATTTAAGACTCAACAATGATCCTGGATGGAAGAATATTAAGGTATGGCGTTCTCTTTATCTATCTATGTGACGATCCATAACTGTTTATGTGATTTCATTCGACTATAGTGGATGATTGTGAATTTTTGGTTGGAAGGTTATTCTTTCGGATGCAAATGTTCCTGGTGAAGGAGAACACAAGATTATGTCTTATATACGTCTGCAAAGAAATCTTCCTGGTCATGATCCTAATACACGCCACTGCCTGTATGGGCTGGTATACTTCTGTCGTTCGTCTGAAGGCTTAAAAGTTGAAATCTTTTCATCATTTCTATGAGTGCTAATGTGTTTTGTTGTTTTGTTTCCGCTAGGATGCTGATCTAATTATGCTGGGACTGGCTACACATGAAGTTCATTTCTCGATTCTTAGAGAGGTTAGCATCTGGTTTGTGGATAGATTTCATTTTCATCGACGACTGAATGTTGCAACCTTATATGCTGCTTCATGATTTATCCTGATAGGGGCACTTTTACCATATTTTGAGTGGTCTATGAATGAGGAGATAAATTAAATCTGGTTGTGCTTTTAATTTTTATTATTAAGCTTGTTAGTTATATAAAAAAATGCAGGAGTTTCATTTTTATCCGTTCTGTTAACTGCCGAAGAATTGCCACTTCTATTTTATGTTTACTCCTCACTGATACTTCTTAGGTTGTGTTCACTCCGGGACAAGACAAATGTTTTATATGTGGTCAAATGGGTCATTTTGCTTCAAATTGTGAGGGAAAGGCAAAGAAGAAGGCTGGTGAATTCGATGAGAAAGGTGAAGCTGCTGTACCTAAAAAGCCATATCAGGTACTGTTTCTCCGAATGTTAAATACTACATCTTCTGCTAAGCCATACATAATGAAAATAACCTTCAGTTCTCAAATTTTTGTGCAGTTTTTGCATATATGGATTCTGAGAGAGTATCTGGAATATGAAATGCAAATCCCCAATCCTCCATTTGAGATTGATTTGGAGCGAGTCGTGGATGATTTCATCTTTATATGTTTCTTTGTTGGAAATGATTTCCTGCCACATATGCCGACTCTAGAGATTCGTGAGGTTTGTCTTCTCTTTTAAATTTGTCTGGAAGCTATTCAATTGAGCTTGCTTTTCGAACACCGTGAATTAAGCTTTTGGATTGCGGGTTTTTTGCATTCGTGGCAGGGAGGTTTTGGTTAAGGAAGAAATATGTTGTGTTGTCATGTTTTGTATATTTGTGAACATCTAGCATAGCATCTCCAAGAACTGTTATCATTTTTGGCTTTTGTTAATAAGGCATGTACAAGGGTGACACAAAAGACAGCATCAGGTTTTTGAAATGATATGCTGTGAGGTTACATGGTTATGGACTATTAAAGTCACATTTGTCCCTAGGTAACTGGATTAGATGTTATGGAAAACTTGAACTTTCTTCCATTGTCAGGGTGCCATCAATTTGCTGATTGCCGTGTACAAGAAGGAATTCAAGTCAATGGGTGGATATCTGACTGATGGTAGTAAGGTGCGTGAAAAAATTGTGATGCAGTTGCTGACTCGGTTGGATATCAGGTCGCTCTTGCTTTGAAGATTTGTCTAATGTCGCTTGTTCTCTTTCCAGCCAAATTTAAGTAGGGTGGAACATTTTATTCAAGCAGTAGGATCATTTGAAGATCAGATATTTCAGAAAAGAGCCCGGTTACAGCAGGTATTCATTGTGCAGATTGTTCCTTCTTTTTGTTGTTTTTGGTGTGCAGATTTGTTGTCTGGAGGTGTAGTGATTCAATGACTTGTCTAGGCCTTGTTATACTCCTTATCTGCTGTGTTTGAGTAGTCTATTGTTGAGAAATGCAAGACGGGAGATGTAGAATTCCTTTGTGTTGAAAATTGCTTATGGAAAATAGTTTTTTTACGAAGATTTATTGACCTTCGGTATGTTCATGTCTTGCAGCGTCAGACTGAAAGAATCAGGCGGGAGAAGGCGCAGGTGAAAAGAGGCGATGATGCGGCACCTTCAGTTCAACCTGAGTCTTTGGTTCCAGTTCATAGATTTCATGGTTCTCGTCTAGCATCAGCTCCACTTCCATCACCGTATGAGCGAAGCTCTGGAAGTTCAAACGGGGATACTAAAAGGAAACATTCTGGGCCTTCTAACGATGAAGGATCCCCTGGTCGAGCTCATAAAGTTGCCCGGTTGTCTTCAGTAGCCAATATTGGTGCTGCCATTGTGGAAGCTGAGAATAGCCTGGAAACAGATGTATGTTTTCTGCTTTAGAGAGGCAGATCAATGGATTCTGACCCTTTCGGCCATTCTTAAAGACTCAAAATCTATGTTCTTGCCTTGATTTGGTTAAGAATCCATTGATTTACTCCATTTGTTATTTTGGTGGAAATTAACTTTATGTTGTTCATTGACATCAGTTGTCATATTGATAATTTCCTCTTGTGTTTTTTTGTTCAGGTACAAGACAACAAAGATGATCTCAAAACCAAGTTGAAGGAGTTACTTCGTGAGAAATCTGATGTTTTTAACACAGAAAATGGAGGAGATGACAAGGTTTTTATTTTGTTGCACTAGCTAATACTCCTTGTCATAATTTTATAATGATCAGAGGATGAAATGGAAATGGGCTGCTGGCTATGTCTTGAAGCTTAATAATTATGGTTTTATTCCATGTGGCAACATTACTTGCTGTTGTGTTTTACGCATTATGAAAGCTGGGTGCGCTTGTCCAATTTGTTCTGGTGTCCAGGATTTCATGCAACACTTCTCTAATTTTGGTATCTGTTGCCCAGATTAAACTTGGTGAGCCTGGATGGAAGGAGAGGTACTATGAAGAGAAATTTTCTGCCCAAACGCTCGATGAACTTGAAAATGTTCGAAGAGATGTTGTAAGTTGTAGAGAAATTCACTGCCATTAAGTGTTCATTTTTATTATTATTATGAATATAATTGCTAACTCTTGGCTATTTGGTATCCAATGGTCTAGGTTTTAAAGTATGTGGAAGGTCTATGTTGGGTAATGCATTATTATTACGAAGGAGTTTGTTCATGGCGCTGGTAAGATTATATTTCTTCCCTATCCAGGCATATTAGTTGTTTCTCGTCTTCTGGTTTCATTGATGCAAACTTATTTACTATGAGCTAAGTTAGCACTGTATAAGAGATACATTGGTCTATGGTTATCTTAAATTCAGATCTTTTTCATATATTTTATAGTTTGTTCCCTTTTGATTTTCAGGTTCTTTCCTTATCATTATGCACCCTTTGCTTCTGATCTCAAGGACCTCGGTCAGTTGGACATCACATTTGATATGGGTTCTCCTTTCAAGCCATTCAACCAGCTGTTGGGAGTTTTTCCTGCTGCAAGGTGCATTGCGACTGTACTTTTCTAGTAGTAATTTTCTTTATGTATAAGCACGTATTAACAACGTGCAAGAACTAACTGTGGAATGCTTTTTGTAGTGCCCATGCTCTTCCTGTAGAGTACAGAAAATTAATGTCAGATCCAACCTCACCTATTATCGATTTTTACCCAGTTGGTAAGTTCTTTTTAACTGATAATGAAGCCATATGTTTCGTTAATATCTACTTGTTGGGATAACATAAACTTGTATCTATGACCCAGATTTCGAAGTTGACATGAATGGGAAACGATATGCCTGGCAGGTAAGTTTTCTTTCTTACCTTTCACCTTTTCCACCCTTAATCTCACATTGCTCAGTTTGTCAATTCTTAGTTTGTTAGATTTCTGACCCATTTATTCTTGGCTTTGACCCTCATAAGGGTATTGCGAAACTCCCATTTATCGATGAGACTCGACTTCTTGCAGAGGTTGAGAAGGTTGAGCAAACTTTAACGGTACGGTCTTGTGACTTCTCCTTCCTCTGTGCAAATTTGTATGTTGGACTAAAACAATGGGGTTTTATTTTTGGGTATGAAATGCAATGTAGGATGAGGAAGCAAGGAGGAACAGTTTTATGTTTGACATGCTTTTCGTTGCTTCATCTCACACCCTGGCCCAATGTATATACTTGCTCGACAATAAATCAAAGCAAATGACAAATAATGAGAGGATTGGAATCAAGGAATGCATCAACCCAGAATTGAGGTCTTTATCTCATTATTGTAATCTCTTCTGATTGCGTACTGCAAATATTGTGATCTTCATGGAAAAATTTCTGATTTTATTTAGGCCTACATGCAGTGATGGGATGAATGGCTATATCTCCCCTTGTGCTGGAGATACTCACCCTCCAGTGTTTAGGTCTCCAGTCACTGGCATGGAAGACATATTGGACAACGAAGTCATGTAAAGCTTAGACACTCACATTACAGATCAGTACTCTTTACCGTGAACTTGCCATAACTGCTAACCGCTACTCTCTGCTGTTTTTCTACTTTTCTCCAGATGTGCTATTTACAGACTACCTGATCCCCATAAACACATCACTCGACCTCCTCCTGGTGTCACATTCCCCAAAAGGGTATATTATATGCATTTCATTTTCCCGGTATCCATTTTGCTTTGCTTGCCTGAGCTAAGTTGACTTCATGCCCTATCTTGTCTAGATTGTGAGCTTGCAAGACATGAAACCTGATCCGGTTCTGTGGCACGAAGACTCTGGGAGAAGGCCTTATGACAGGTAGGTAGTTTCTATCACAATCTCATTAAAACAGCCAAACCATTATTGGTCAACTACCTCATTTGGTTATTGCACTCTTCCTGACATTGTTGATTCTGAACCTTCTTGTATGTCTATGATAAATATTTAAAAAAACCGCTGTCTCTTTCCACGTGTGACGAATGTCTTTTCTTTCAGGCATAACAATAGTAATAATAATAATAGCAATGGAAACTACTCTGGCCGCCATAACAATAACAACAACGGGAACATATCTGGCCGCCATCTCGGCGAGGCGTCTCATCGGCTTGTCACCAATAGCTTGCAGATGAACAGACAGGGAAACCAATACAACAACCATGCACAGCATGGTCGTGCACATTCTTATGATGCTACGCCATCATATGCTCCTCGAAACTCATCCTACTCAAATGGATCTCATCATGATTATTCACATTCTAGGCATCAGCAGTCTGCACCTCCTTATCAACAAAGGTACGATCAGTCTCGTGGGTCCAACCCCCGGTATGGAGGCTCTCGATCTTCATATGAGAGAGAGGATCATGGTGGGGGATATTATCCGCAAGGCGGGTTTCATCATCAAGGCAACCCCCGTGGCGGTGGATATGTTCCTCAGCCAGTAGTATCCCCGCCGAATGGCGGTGGTTATGATGCATACCAGAGTCGCCAGCCAGCAGGCACACAGTGGGGCGGCGCTCCAGCTGCACCACCAGTCAACCAGGCCGTGCCTTATGGATACGGTCACCAACATCACCATCAGCAGGCTGGCGGAAACAGGTTTGCTGCCTTGGACCATAGATCAAACCGAGTGCCACCACCACACCATGCAAGAACTCATCACGAACAGCCGCCGCCTCCTGGAGCTGAAAATAGGAGGCAACAGTACCCGCCACACAATGCTGCCCCTCGCAGGCCAGCACCCCCACCCGGGTACAGCAGGCGGTAGGAAAATGTGGCAATGGCGTTTGTGATTCCAATTCTGTAATGTCCCCTTTTTTTTCTTCCATTAGTTTTGGTTGCAGTCTTTTAGTTATGGTCTTGCTCCATTTGTTGTGTATTATTGTTGTACCCCCAAAAGCTCAGAATAAGCAGGTGTCCAAGGGACGTCATTCATTTGGGTTTAGTGCATCTGCTATACTTTGATGTTCAATATCTTCATAATCGGATATTAATGATTAGTATAGACTAAAGAGATTGTCTTTTGTCCCTGGTTTTTATATATAATTATCATCATTTGGAAGAGAAAAGGATCACCTCTTTCCTTGTATCTTCCTGCTACTGGATGGTAAAGAACCCAGCTGCTAGCTAAGCTAACCACTGCCCTACAATTGGAGCTTCATGCAGCAGCTAGCTAGGGTCAGCCAGCCATTATCTTGGAATGTGGACATGTTTTTGCCTAAACTTTTATGGCAAAAACCAACCAGAGACTAGCTAGTACTTCCCCTTTGGTCATTTCATCATCATAACAGACAGCCAGCCAGCCAGCCAGCCAGGTAAGGTTGGAGGGGAGTCGCCATCCAATTTTGTTGCCCGCACGAATGATCATAAATTATTTATATGCATGTTCAACAGCAAAAATAAATAAATGTGATCCCTACCACATGCGCGTTACCAACAACTTCACCAGTAATCACCATCAGCTTGCTCTTGCTCTTGCTCTCTTACCCTCCTTCATAATCATCATATGAGATTACCCCAAGGATGGGCAGATGTCGGAATTCCCAAATGTATCAAGGCACCGACTCTAATATAGTGACAAATAGTCTAATTTAATGATGCACATAGGGTTCAATAAGGGCCTTCACCTCTGCCTCGATCGATCTGAGAAGAGCATATGAGAGTGTGAATAGGGGTGATAAACGGTTAGTTGGTTATCGGTTTTAACCGATAACCGAACCGATAAAGTCGGTTAGTGGTTAACCGATAACCACTACTTTCTTATTGATTTCGGTTTCGGTTAGTAGTATTTTGGTTAGTGGTTAACCGCTAACCGATTAATCGGTTAGCGGTTAACCGATAAGAAAACCGATAACCGCCTACTAGTGTGACTACATGGTTTTTTATTTTGGTTAAGGGAAAAAGTTGTAAAATTCAAAACCAATCGAAGTTGCAATTCCAAACATCCCAATTCTCACCTATTGCAAACAACCCTCCATCAAGAGTCTCAAATGTTGTTAAGAGTTAGAACTCGAAGTCACCCCTCTCTAAATCCCCTTTGCACTCGATAGAGTGAACCTTAGGTTGATGACTATGGGCTAGATGAAGATCTTGGAGTAAATGATGACTATGGGCTAGATGAATTGGAGCGAGATCCTCGGATCATTTAGGTTGATGATTTGGAGATAATGAACTTGTTATTTGTGTCTTGTTGTGATTGTGACTTGTGGTTGAATTGTGGGCATGTAGATTTTATGTAGTGGAGTTGTGGTTGAATTGTGTGGTTGCTTTAGGCTTTATGTTCAATTGATTTAGATGACTTTATGGTGTGTGATTATAGAGGCTGAAACAAAAGCTGGTCACTCAAAATTTAGGGTGAATCATTAAAAAAGGTGGTTGAAATTCGGTTTTGGGTGGTCGGTTTTTGAACAAAAACCGAGAAAGTGAACCAGAACCTGCGGTTTCAGTTAACCGCAAGGGAAAACCGAAACCGATGTTTGCAGTTTTCGGTTAACCGAAGCCTCTGTCGGTTTCGGTTTCGGTTAGTGATATTGGGACAATTTTTGTTGCGGTTAACCGATATTTCGATGCAGTTAAACCGAAATCGCACCGACTAACACCCCTAAGTGTGAATACTCTTTTCCTTCACAAGTTGATGTTGTCTAATTGATGAAATTAAATTGTTGACAAAGGAAAAAAGAGGGACGACAGAGAGAATCTGCACGATACAATAGCAACGGACAAAGTTGGCGACCAATGGTGATTGGCACTTTCGTCTGTAATTTAAGTGTAGGCGGCAGAAATGATCGAGTATGAATGAGCTGTACGTGCATGGGCAAGCTAGCTAGCTAGCTAGGCTACTTTGTATATGATTTGATATTTTATGTTGCTCAGTTGCTGTCCTGATGTGACAAGTTAAAGTTCATAAGGTATCCCCACGTAATATCAACCCGGTTACAGTGCCACCACGTGATTACAGGGCGTATGATATCGTTGAATCTAGCACGAGCGATTCATGATCATTGAATAATCGTCCACCCTCGATTAAGTACATGTGAACACGTGTTCAAAACGCATCAATAAGAACAATAATAATTTTTCCGCTCCACACATTTCCTATCCTATTGCACTAAAAAGTGCCTTGGATCGGGGTTTTAGACCTAAGTAAAGGTTACTTTCTTAAGATCATAGGCGGAGCCAAGGCCAATTGAATGTGTCCCGGGACACAGGCAATTTTTAGCTAAAATAAAATATCTATATATATATGCATCAATTAAAGATTGCACTCATCACCTTTAGGTAATATAAAAGTGAATTATCACTACACTACAAGTTATTTCAAGTTTAAAAGCTAACATAAACTAATTTACCACACTATAAACAAAAATTCATAAATCATAATACTAAAAAATCGATCTCTCTGCCTTCTGTAGTTAGTTTTTACTCTACTCGTTGCAACTGCATGTGTAAAAAGAACATATTCAGCTTTGAGCTTTATGAAAAACAAGTTTGAAAGTCGAATTGCGACCAATTTGCTAATGGTTGCTTAGTCGGATACATTGAGAATTTGAAAACGTGTTGTAAGCAATGCAGTTAAAAGCGCGATTCTACCTAAAAGCGGAAAAGGGTAAAATCGTAAAACGTAGAATCAAAGCGTAAAAACGTAAGTTTTTGACGCATTGTGTAAAATGGCTAAAAATCTGTTAAGTACGACATATACTATGTAAAATATGAGTGCACAGAATTTAGATAAGTTAATAAATACATGCAATTCATGTCTAAAGTAGAACAACTCATAGCATCTTAACAATAAGTTCATAAACATAGATATTAACAATAAGCCACCGCCCCCTCTATGCTAATGAATTTGGGAACTCGTCAACTAGATTACTCTATTGAAGCTGAGAATGCATCCAAGACCTGTTATGTATCTTTTAATATCAAATATATCAATTGTTGGTGATTTACCTTTAAAATATACTTTTTATAAAATATACTTTTTATAATTAATTTCATGACAAGAATACAAATTTAGTTAACTAAAAGCATAAAAGCGTAAAGCATTTTGTTGAGCTAGAAGCGTAAGCGTAAGCTTTTAAGCTTTAAAACGCAATTTAGTCCGATTTTACACACTAAAGATTTTATATGGAAACGAAAGCGTTTTGTTGACCTAGAAGAGTAAAATCGTAAGTTTTTAAGTTTTAAAGCGCGATTTTGACTGCATTGGTTGTAAGTGCTTATGAAAATAATGATTGTGTTAGTCTAGTATTTCATTAATATCTATCAATGAATTATTTGGATATTATTAGTTTTAATTATATTTATGAAATAATTATTTCTTTATTTCATATTTATATTATGGAAATAGGACACAGGTACTTTCAAACTCTGGCTTCGCCACTGCTTAGGATTGCCCTCTATTACCTTATAGATTATAGATGGTTATCAATAAATTAAATTTCAGAGTTAGCTTCTCAATTATGCTCTATCTATATAAAATCCCTTTTATGGTTTTGTTAGTGTACAAGTTACCATTGTTAAGGGTAGTTGTGACGGTCATGGTGATTGGACGTGTTGGACGTGAATCACATGCAACACACCCTTTTCATAAATAATAGATAATACACTAACTAATAACTTTGCTCATTAATAGACTGGTTTATTATTATTATTATTAATTGGTGATTGATTATGGCATCGTTTGATTCTCATATGACGAGGGCTCTGAGCCACGAGGCTAAATTCAAGTCTCACATTTGAAAAAAGAAAACCAATCCAAAAGTACTGTATAACCCTTACAATTAAAAAATTAATCCAATCTGGATATTGTAATGTTGTTATCTTGTTGATCTTGATTGATCAACTTGATTTGACAAGAAAAGAAAAGAGACTTTCATTGGCTAATACACAAGGAGTTATCACTACTAAAGTGATCATCATTACATGAAATGACAATGTAATTTGTTTTATGACTAAGAGGTATAAATACTCATCATCGAGACCTATGATATGGTTAGTGGTGGTGAATAGGATCAAGTCAACAATGTGTGCTATATTGTCAAAAAAATCATAATGCAAAGGGAGGCAACTCTTCTTTTTTATATATAAAAAAAATTAAATCCTCAAGATGGTTTTGATGGCAAATGAGAGAATATGTAGATGATAGGAAGAAAAGTGGGAAGCCTAAACTCATCTTCAAGTTAGATATTAGAAGACATTTGATTCGGGAACTTGGTTTGTCTCTTCAAGATTCTAGTTTCAATTATCAAGAACGCATATAGTGGATAAAGGTAATGCGCTACCTACAACTCTAAAAATATCTGTGTTAGTAAATGATTATGTTACCTTTTTTTTTTCCGAGATGAAGAGATTAGGACTTAGGATTCACATTAAAGAAACAACTCGTGGCAAGTAGTGTAATTTTTTTTTTGAACAAGGTGATAAAGTCAATTGAAAAGGGGTCAATTATGCGATAGATAGAGGAGGGGCAGGTTACATGTATTTGGAGGATGGGGATTGAGGTGGGAAATGGCACAAAGACAATGAAGAAACTCACAACCAACAAGATTCCAAATGATCCCTAGGCTCGAACCAAAAAGACACACTTCACTTCAAGGAAAGGAATCCAGGAAGCTTCAGTTTGGATAATCCTATCGTAATCAGCCGCACGTGTGCAGCAGCAAAGCAACAGCTTAGATTGGTCAGCTGATAGTTGGTAGGTTATACCATTGATCTCGAATTCTAGCTGGCACGTGCGTACCCATACTCCAAATAATTGCATGCACTGGAAAGTGGGACATGATCGAGTACACTGGGGGTGGGATCAGATGGCTAATTATAACAGAATTGTTGTTTAAATCCCGTTGATCTCAATAATTTCGGTTAATATCGTAATTCGAATTGTTGTTTGAATCCGATTTATTTCAATAATGTGAGTGGTTGGAAGAAGTTTCATAATGAATTATATATGGTTTACTATTGTTAAGATTATTTCATAGTGAATTATGTATTTATGTATCATGGAGGTCTTATGTCTTAAAGAACTAACTCTTCAATCTTATACTACTTATTCACTACATGGACATA